CTCATAACGAGGAGTGTTTTTTGAGAAAATTCCCGATAACAAAAAAACACGTTCACTTGCAACTGTGAAACTCGAGATGAGTGCCGTACGCGATCAGACAGTGGCGTGTGGTTTGTTCGGTAGTTCGCAAGAGATCAGAGTACCGAGAAAATCTATGGCCGGTATTTCCCCCATGTCGTCCGGTATTCCCCCACTCTACCCTACATGGTTTCTCACAATTAACTTCAATTAGATGTTTCTGACAAACCAAGCAACAAATGAATCTGAAAATTTGATGGTATGTATAATCTACAAGCCTTGAATATTTTGAACGAAGCGGCGTTGCCACGTCTGATAGAAAGTAGCAGCAACTATAACTTTTCAAATGGAACACCCTGTTTTTCATTGCTTTTTTAGATTTTACTTGGAGAGCTGGTTCCACCAATGCATCACCTTTGGGGTCTAGCGTTCCAAATCAAGATTTTCCAACTTTAGGATTTTTTCGTGTAGAAACTATACATTATTAGTCAAAATGGCATCACTGTCCCCATCTCATCAACTTCTGATTTACAATCTACTCTGTCATTTAATTAGAACAAATACATAGTGGTTCATGATTCAGAATTTCATCACCCTATATCTGTTCCAATTAAATGTCAGTAAAAACTGAATCAAAAGTTAAGATGGCCGCTTCGACGAATAATGAGTTTCGACACAAAAAAATCCTTATGTTAAAAATCTCGATTTTGTGATATATAGCCGAAGAAAAAGAACTGTTTCAATTATACAACTGTGTTTAATAAAAAGAGAGTGATTGTGTCTTTCAAATACATCGTTCGGTATAGTGATTACATCGCGTTATTCTTTGTTGTGTCGGTGTTTTGTGAAGTGTTTTGAGAATTCATATGTGGACAATATGCAGATTTAATAGTGATGCGTTTCTTAATCTTATGGTATGTATAAATTGTCATGATCTACACGTCTATAATATTATAAACAATGCGGCGTTGCCACTTCTACTAGAAAGTAGCAACAACTATGATTTTTCAAATGAAACACCCTCATCTGTATTTCATTGCATTTTTGAATTCTTCCTGGAGTGCTGATTTCATCAATATATCACACTAAACTTGTGGTCTAGCGGGATCGATTACAGAGATGAAGGGTGTTCTAAAACGAGATTTTTCAAGTTTAGGATTTTTTGTGTAGAAACTATACATTATTAGTTAAAATGGCATCAATGTCCTTATCTTAACTTCTGCTTTACTATCTACTCTGACATTTAATTAGAACAAATACATGGTGGTTCATGATTCAGAATTCTCATCACCTTATATCTGTTCCAATTAAATGTCAGTAAATACTGAATCAAAAGTTAAGATGGCCGATCTGACGAATATTGAGTTTCAACACAAAACAATCCTGAAATTGAAAAATCTCGATTTTGACCACCCTCTATTTCTGTAATCATTCCCACTAGAGACTCCATCATGTGTGATACATTGATGAACAGGGTGTTCCATTTGAAAAATCAAAGTTGCTGTTAATTTTTAATAAGAGCGGCAACTCCGCATCGTTTAGGATATACCAAAAAAATCAATATGGCCTAGATATATTATTATTATAATTATTTATATTATAATTATTCGTGTTGTAATTGTTCGCGTTGTAATTATTCCTGTTGTAATTATTAGAATACCCTCGCTTGACCGAATTCCAAGAATCCGGTGGCGTAATCGCGATATTCAAATAATCTCTGCTGTTCAGCCCCAACAGCAATAAAGTCTTGACCTCATCGGGCCCCTTTCTCTCACCCTGTGCAAGGGCTGCCTCATGTCGGATTAGAACGACGCGAAGCTGGATTTGGTGCCATTTTTCCTAGCTTCGGGGCTCACCTAAGGTGGAGAATTGGCGTTCGAAAAATTATGTTATTCATCAAATAGTCCAGCTTTTTTCCTCCAATTTTCTGGTACAACTCGGCCGACTCTGCCGTCCCTGACAAGCCGTCACTGGTTATTAATGATATAAGTGCTAAAAGTGATGTTATTCGAACGAAATAAAATCACTTTCAGCAGGTATTTCATACACTATTTTTCTACAAACACCATTAAAAGTCCAAATTGGCGCATACCTATTTTACAATAGTTAATTGATAAAATGATAGCCTCGAGATTATATATCTTGAATCCAATTTCATCTAATCTATTAATGAAACAAGTTGTCGAGGTAAACAAAACCCGAATTTATTGATTTGTCTTTTACTTTCAACTCCGGCAGTCATTAAACTTTTGCATCCGGTGATAAGTTTACTTCTAACTCCAGCAGTCATTTCACTTTTGCATCCGGTGATAAGTTTACTTTTACTTTTGCCTCCTCTGGTCATTTCACTTTTGATCATTCTGCTTTCAGCTTCTCATGCGTGCTCGTTATTATAAATGGAGGTATGAATAAAGCATTTTGTATATAACTTGTAAAATTACTTAGTCATGCATATAAATATAGATTCTTAGATGGAGAAAAAGTAGGTAATATCACTTTCGCATTGCAGATAATAGATTCCTAATAGAACAATAAAAAATGTATCATAATTATTAGTAGTATTATTTATTTACTGAGTGCAACCAGTCACCCAGGGAAATAGTTCTGATTCATTGAACACTTCTGTTACTTTGATACTTCAACATTTTGGCCCCTGGAATAAACTTTCTTCAATGATAGTTGCCCGGTGCACTATAAAATAGGTGGCGCCCGAGAAATAAAATAATTATAAATAACTATTATAGAACCCGATCCGCAGCGCCTGAAAGAGTGTCTGAAGGAAAGATACCTTGAAGGTGGGATTTCCTAGCGACGTCCAGCGTTCACGGCTCACCGCGACGTCCAGCAGTATACAGGGTGTAAATTTAAAAACTTCCAATGCGAATATCTCGCGAAAGAAAAAAGTTAGAAAAAGTTTGGCAAAAATGCTAAAGAGTTAAGGGGAACTAGAACCACCATATTTCGGTCAAGGGATGAGTCACCCCGTCGGCGCGACACACCCCAACTTTGAAATGTCAAATGGCACTTCCTTTTTTGTGATGCCTCAAATGAACAGTCTCAGTCAGTAGTATTCACCTGTACAAGACTTTTTCTCCACCCACTACAGGGTGTACGAAAAATATAAAGTCGAATAAAATAAAATGAATTGTGTTAAGAGGATATTTTATTTGATCAGATGTTCAAAATGCATTCCATTCTGTTGAAAGCAATAGTATAATCGATGTTCAAATGCCATTCCAACATTTTGGAACACATCTCTTGGAATATATCGACATTCTGCATTTTATTTTATTCGACTTTGTTTTCCGTTCACCGTCTAGTGGGTGGAAAATAAGTCTTGTACAGGTGAATACTACTGACTGAGACCGTTCATTTGAGGTATCACAAAAGAGGTAGTGCCATTTGACATTTCAAAGATGCAGTGTGTCGCGCCGACGGGGTGACTCATCCCTTTACTGAAGTATGGTGGTTCTAGTTCCCCCTAACTCTGTAGCATTTGTGCCAAACGGCGTTTTCCTAACTGTTTTATTTAGCGAGATATTCGCATTGAAAGTTTTCAAATTTAGACCCTCGAATTAATGTTTTTCGTACACCCTGTAGTGGGTGGAAAAAAAGTCTTGTACAGGTGAATACTACTGACTGAGACCGTTCATTTGAGGTATCACAAAAGAGGTAGTGCCATTTGACATTTCAAAGTTGGGGTGTGTTGCGCTGACAGGGTGACTCATCCCTTCACTGAAATATGGTGGTTCTAGTTCCCCTTAACTCTTTAGCATTTTTGCCAAGCGGCGTTTTTTATTTCGCAAGATATTCGCATTGAAAGTTTTCAAATTTACACCCTGTATAACGACTGGCAGCGGCGATTTCATGATTTGCTTGAAGCGTCCGGCGACCGCGTTATGGTAGTTGCGAGACCAGGTGAAACATATACCTGCCATGGCAACAGAATTTTTTGTTCAGAGTTGACTGCGTTTTAATAAAAAATTGCTGGTTGTCAGGATGAAAACTGTGGCAATTTGGTTCCACAAATTTTCCCGAATTTGATCTGTAAAATCTTTCGTTTTCATGGTCCTAGATACATGCAAATTCACGACCTTGATCGATTTATAATTCATCGTCGTCATTGGTAAATTTTTGAGACATTTTCTGATAATAATATTCAACCACTCTGCTTTGAATTCAGTAACGTCTGAAGTCTACGTTCGCATGTTTTTGAGCAGCCGAGACGCAGCCGCTGACGGCTGGACGTTGGGACGTCAAGTCGCGCCGCTTCTAGGAAAACGGTTGAATACAGATGCATTAGGGTTGATTGATTGATTGATTAATTAATAGCAGAATGATCAGTCAGGGTTTGAAGCCCAAAACACTGCAGCCTTTGGGCCTATTGTATTCCTGATCATGCTGTTGACTTAGGTGAACAGGTTCGCTACCTTGATGAGGTTTAGCAGCCTCTTCACCAGATCATTCTTTGAAAATGCCTCTTGAGAGTTTACTGCTCCCAGAAGGTTGTATCTCCAACGCGCTAGTGCTTCGCACTCCAGTATTACATGGGTGGCAGTTTCCTCCTCCTCATTGCATAGTCTGCATATGGGTTCGTCTGTATAGATGCCCATTTGATGCATATGTTTCCTCAAGAGGCAGTGACCGGTTATTAGTCCCGTCACTTGTTTGATCTGACTTCTGTTTAGGCTCAGAATGTCGTTAGTCACTGTTTTTGACAGTGTTCCAACCATCAGTTTACTGTGTCTTTGTCCTGGGACATTGTTCCAGTATGCCTGATGTCTTTCTTGCATCCACCTTGCCAGCCAGCCGCGTATTGAGGTTTTGGGGATACCGAACACAGGTTATGTATTATACGTGTCTCAACTGCCAGACGTAACGGCGGGTCGCGAACGCTGGACGTCGCTAGGAAATCCCACCTTGAGGGTGGTAAAACAGTGTAGAGTGACCCTGTAATATAATCAAAGTTGTAAATACGAAGTAGACGGAAAAATAACTTTATTGAGATGATACATTATACAGAGAAAATCAGTATGGCCTAGATCTATTATTATAATTATTATTCATATTATAGTTATTCGTGTTGTAATTATTCGCGTTGTAATTATTCGCGTTGTAATTGTTCGTGTTGTAATTATTAGAATACCCCCGCTTGACCGAATTCCAAGAATCCGGGGGCGTAATAGCGATATCCAAATAATCCCCGATGTTCAGCCTCAACAGCCCCAAAGTCTTGACATCATCGGGTCCCTTGACCCCCGTCATGGTGCTGCCTATTTCTCTCACCCTGTACAAGGGCTGCCTCATGTCGGGGTACACAGAGGCGAAGCTGAACTTCGTACCCTTCCTCCTAGCTTCGGGGTTCACCTAAGGATGAGACGATTGAAAATTTCAATTTGAAAGTTTCGAGGAGTAGACAACTCCAGCATCTGTGCAGGGTGATTCACTATGAATGTTCCCCCTCTAGCTCAGTTATTTTTTAACCGATCCCAAAATTTCAAGTGGAATTTAATTTCATAACTAAGAGTTCAATTTTCCCATGCCTCAATTTACCTCTTTGACCAGCTGCGTGAGTTCATGTAGAGTGGCATCTCGCCACGTGTAGATTTGCAGCTCGTTTTGCGGGGTGTTGCCTTTCATATAGTCGGAGGGTTTGTGGTGTTGCCCTCCGGAGGATACGAATACTCGCAGTAGGAAAGGGCAGATCTGAAGAAAATGAAAAAAGTTACTTTTTTCTCCGATTGGCAGCAAATATTAATTTTGCTGACACATATCAATCAGCAAAGTATTACTTTTCCTGCCTAGGCAGCAAAGTGGGTACTTTGCTGATTGATATGTATCAGCAAAATTAAAAATCCATAAATCGTTTATAATTTCCTTCATATTTCATTCGAGACTTCTTCGGCAACAAATTCAACTCCACCTCCCTTATTTCTGGAGGTGTGAGTACTTCCAGGTCGCTATCACTGTCCATTATATAATAATTTGAATATACCGATATTTTTTCGCACAAATGTCAGAATTTTCATGAATTGTCAAACTATAATTATCATGGACAACTGCGATTTTTATCAAATTTCATTTTAATTGAACACTACAGGAAAAATAAAGAAATTGTGGGAATTGTAATAATTTGCAATTACAATATCCTCCTATATCATTATGAACAATCGGAGAAAAAATTATATGTTCAACTTAGCTAGATTCCTAGCCTCGCTACGCTCGGCTATGAATTCAGCCTCGGCAGTCAATCTACTACTTTGCTGCCTAGTTAAACAAATAACTATTTTCTGTGACGGGAAATAAGTTTGGCATTTCATCTCTGTTGGCAGGTTATAAAATGTCACTTTCCATAAATTACTTTTTTCCCGTGGGATAAAAGTGAGTAGGTACTTCTTTTCCGGATATACACCATCGGACAAAAGTAAAGCAACACTTTCGAAAAATGAAAGAAATCTCGATTTTATAATAGTGAATGCATGATATTGTATTTAAAAAAAGGTAGTCCCTATGATTGGTGCTTTGTATAGATGTGGTAGCTATCTGAATACTCAAAATAGGCTTATGATTTACAATGCATACTTTCTGTCAGTTTTTCGCTATCTCATAACAACCTGGGGTATATGTCGACCAACACAATTTAAGAAAATACAGACTCTTCAAAATAAGGTAGTGAAATTTTTATTTGGATATAGCTACAGAACACATACAGAGAAAATATATAAAGAAACAGGAATACTGCCCTTGGAACAAATATTACAAATAGAACAATGCAAATACACTTACAAAATACAAAAAAATCAACAGAAATGTAATACTAAATTCAACTTAGTTAACGAAACTCACACATATGAGACTAGAAATCAAAATAATTTTTATCTATCAAATGTAAGAACAAACTTGGCACTAAATAACCCTATATACAAATGTCTAGAAACTTTCAACTCTTTGCCAAATCCTGTGAAAAATATAGATAGTTATTCTTCATTTAAAATAAACTTGATTCAGCACATAAATCAACAAACTACTGTACTATGATATACTTAAGATTGTAATTGTTGTTGTTTGTGTATAAGTATATTAATGTATACTAATGTATATTATGGTAACTACAGAAATTGTTATTGAATCATATGTCAATTATAATGTTCCGTCACCAGCATGTTGCTGATTAGGAACAAAATGCTAGATGTATTTATTAATATGTATGCTAAAATGGTTTAATGAAATACATTGTGTCTTAAATATCAAAGTAGGCTGCTGTTATCGACGTCAACAGCTTTTTCCAACAATCAAAACAAATGAACTAATATTGACGTAAACTTTCAAATACAGAATTGTAATGCGTCAAAAGTAAAGCAACATTTTAATATTTTCCTAAAAAACAAAGGTTTTAGTGAAAGGAATAGTAAAAAAAAAAATTGCCGACTTTATTTTATGTTCAACTAATATTTCTGTGCTGGATTAATCATGCCAAGAGGTATTCCAATTGCGAAAGAATTGAAGCAGAGAGTAGTAAATGCGCACTTGGAAGGTGCAATACAAGCCACAATTTCAAGACGGTTTGTTTTACCCAGATACAGCGTATCCAAAATAACTTCAAGTTGCCATGAAAGGGGACATTTTGAGATTCTATCTAAATCGGGAAGACCGAGAAAAACAACAATTTGGACAGACCGACGTATTAAAAGAATTTCTCAGTACGATCCTTGGTTGTCTGCACCTAGAATTATTGCTGAAATTCCCGGAATTATAGTTAGCCCACGAACAGTGTAAAGAAGGCTGGTAGACGCAAAGCTATTTAGTAGACGCCCCGCTAAAAAACCGCTTATTTCGGCAAGAAATAGAGTGGCTAGGCTTGAATTTGCACGTCTAGTCCAGTCATTATAGACTTTGACCCGTGAATAATTTTTTAGTGGTTTTTTTTCCATAGGTGTCTCTGGGGGGTCACTGGGAGTGTAAATTCAAAATGGCGACCAAATCAAGCTTTTGCGTATGTTCGAAAACTGTTTTTTTTGTTAAAAAACGGTTTTTCTGGAATAACTCGGCCATTTTCGATTCTACAGACAAAAATTTGGGACAAAAATTGTAGTAAATTTGGTTATCTACAAGTTTGGTCTTCTCAATTTTTCTGATAGGATCGATATTTTGTAAATTGAACCTGAAAAAAGCGACAAATTCGAAATATTTTCATTATCTCGTTTATTTTCAACTTCACGGCATAAATGAAGAGGCCTAAACTTGTGGAGAATCAAATTCTAAACAATTTTGGTTATTACGTTTTTGTTCCAAAAATCGATATTTTGGGAATTAAACCTGAAAAAAGCGACAAATTCAAAAGATTATCATTATCTCCAATGCTTCGCATTTTACGGCATAAATGAAGAGGTCATTCCGCGCAGGTAGCTTGTTTGTCATGTCGGTGTGAAAATATGGTTCCGGAACTATTTTTTTTTTTTTGGGTTTCTTAGCTGATGTCCTTGCCAACTCCATACCCTCTCTTTCTTCTTCGGTCAATTGGTAATGTCCAGTTTCACATTCGTTAAGGTTCAGTGTTAATGGTGCGGGATCGTCGATGTCGTTGTCATCATCACTGTCTTTGTCATCGACGGCTCGCAATTGTGTGACGTTATCGCAAGTCTGCCCAGCGCAGTTGTGGCATAAGACAGAACATTTCAGTCCTGCCTCACGACACCCACACATTCCTCCGCAATTTTTCGTGCATTAAATTCCGAAAATATCGATTTTCGGAAAAACAGGTGAAGACCAAATTTGTCCAAAATTTGATTCTCTGCAAGTTTGTTCCTACTCATTTATGGTGTAAAGTTGAGAATAAACGAGATAATGATGATATTTCGAATGAGTCTTTTTTTTAGGTTTAATTCCGAAAATATCGATTTTCGGAAAAACAGGTGGAGACAAAATTTGTCCAAAATTTGATTCTCTACAAGTTTGTTTCTGTTCATTTATGCCGTAAAGTTGAAAATAAACGAGATGATGAAAATATTTCGAATTTGTCGCTTTTTTCAGGTTTAATTTACAAAATATCGATCCTATCAGAAAAATTGTGAGGACGAAACTTGTAGAGAACCGAATTTACTACAATTTTTGTACCCAAACTTTTTCTGTAGAATCAAAAATGGCCGAGTTATTCGAGAAAAACATACGCAAGAGCTTGATTTCGTCGCCATTTTGAATTTACACTCCCAGTGACCCCCCCGAGACGCCTATGAAAGAAAAAAACACTAAAAAATTATTCACGGGTAAGGTCCGTTATTTGGATATAATGACTGGACTAGTCGACATTTGAATTGGACAGTAGACGAGTGGAAAAAAGTTCTATTTAGCGATGAAACGCGTTATAAGATTTTCAATTCTGATGGAATGAAGCGTGTGAGACGGCCAATCAACACAAGGTTTAATCCCAAATACGTTACACCCACAGTTAAACATGGTAAAGGCAGTGTTTTTCTATGGGGTTGTTTCTCATGGAATGGGGTAGGCCCTTTAAGCTTTATTAATGACACCATGGATCGATTTGTCTATAGAGATATAATGCAAAATGTAATGTTGCCTTATGCAGAGTGGGAAATGCCGTTGAGTTTTATTTTCCAACAGGATAACGATCCAAAACACTCTTCACGAATTGTTCAAGAGTGGTTTCAAGAAAATAATGTTCGGGTTTTGCAGTGGCCGGCACAATCCCCAGACCTTGACCCCATTGAAAATCTATGGGAGGAAGTAGAACGTGGAATCCGTACACACATATTTCCAAATAAACAATCATAGGTAAATAAAATCAATGAAGTTTGGACAAATCTTCCCGAAAATACTTTTCAAAAACTAATTGATTCAATGCCGCGACGTTGTCGACAAGTAATAAATAATAATGGATATTCTATTAACTATTAATATAATACTTCTGGCTATTGTAATTATTAAATGTGTTTAATGTTCTTTCATCGTAATATCTAGAATGAAATACTGTTGACACAATTTGTTGCTTTACTTATGTCGCACTGTATTTCGTCGTTGATTGAATTATAAGTATTTCTCTACCTTTATTTTGTTTTTCTACTCGCATAACTAAAATGGCATTTATCGTACGGATATGTACCACGCTAAATGATCGATTAATCACGAATTGTCGATCTGTGATTTATTCAAAATATTAAACACGTTACCATGGCAACACGATTTCTTGAACACATTACCATGGCAACACAGTTCATTAAACACAGGTTCAGTAATTTGAGACATGTCTTGCCTGTCAATTGTATTAACTGTCAACTGTTATTTAGTTACCTATTTTCAAATTTTGTATCAGAATTATTCAAACAATATTCGTTTGTATCAGAATTCTTCATTAAAAATATATTCGAAATGTAGACGAAAGTGAAATTGAAGAGAATGTTCTGGTACTTGCATTTCTCGTAGAAGTATAAAAATGAAGCATCCATCTTTGAGAACAATTTATTTATTCTGCGGTAACCATGACAATAAACGTGAAACAAAGGTTAGTAAGCAATGGACTGGACACATCTACAACCAAAATCACTTATACGTGTGTCGCTGGTTGCATGCAGTTGCATGTATTATGTTCTCAATTTCCATTCCTTTCGAATTATTTTGTAGGTTAGCAGGAATAGCAGGTATGTTAATGTAATTTTCGTAGTTCGTAGAAAAACCATAGTATGTAACGAGTT